GGGATCGAACCAGCGATCCTTTGCTTGGGGGGCCAACGCTGTAACAACTGAGCCAAACCGTCAGGGCAGCTTTAGCTTCTCTTACCTGGAATATTTCATCCTTATGTGATTCAAAGGAATGCAACTTAAGTTTCAGATTTCTCAGATCCCACAAGGCAACAGTCTGTGTAAAGAATGGAAAGAAAGAGTAATCAATTTTTTTTATATGAGAAAAAAACAAAACCCTAAGGTAAAAAAATCTCTGCATTCAAAAGAAGCCAGAGAAATTCACCCTTTTAAAATAAACCAGACTAACCTTATCAGCTGATCCTGTGGCAAGAATGAATTCACTATAAGGATTAAAAGAAAGGCAGTTCACTTCAGCAGTGTGAGCATCAACCGAATGGCTTGGTTTGGAAGTGTTGTTTGAACGAGTATCCCAGCTTTAGTACAAAAAACAACAACGAAACAGGGAAAAAATGTTGAAATGGGCAACTAAATATAAAACTTAGATAATTTATGAAGAAAAAATTTAAAAATGGGTTCTACTCACATCATAAGTTTCTGATCATCTGCAACGGACCCGAACAGAGACTCGTGGAGCAGATGCCAGGAAACATCTTCTACCACGGCTGTGTGCCCTGTAAAGATGGTCTTCGCATCCACGACTTTCCCTTCCTTTGGAACAGCACTGATGTCCCACAGGCAGATGGTCTTAAATGCAAAATTAACTATTATAAAACAGGAAGATTCTCTCTCCCCCACATACCCCAGAAAAGAAACTGGTAACAAGCCCAGACTGGTTCAAAATTGAAAGGATACGTACATGGTCATCTGAAGCACTAAGTAGATGCCCACTCAGATTTGGGTTCCAAGAAAGCCCATAGCCTTCCTTCTGATGTCCACGGAGACGCAAGTCTGGGTTGCACTCGCCAGAAGGATCTGCAGAGTAAGACACATCAAGATTATTCATTTCACTGTCTCTATGGATCTACTGAGCATAATGAAATTTTTATCAAGAAGTCTAAAGCTCCTGCCCAGCCAGCTTGGCTCAGTGGTTGAGCATCAATCTATGAACCGGCAGTTCACAGTTCGATTCCCAGGCAGAGCACATGCCTAGGTTGCCGGCTTGATCCCCCGTGTGGGCAGTGCAGGAGGCAGACGATCAGATTCTCTCTCATCACTAATGTTTCTCTCTCTCCCTCCCTGTCCCTTCCCCTCTGAAATCAATAATATATATGTATTTTAAAAAACCTCTAAAGCTCTTAATATTATAAGCAATACAAACTCATATGACCAAATATACAATGCTTAAGCTGCACCATCATTCTGTTCTATGTAAAGAAGTGTTTGTTTTTTTACTTAAAGTTGAAGAATATCCACACATATCATTATAAATGACAAGGTATTAAGTTATGCAAGGAATAACAAAAGCAACTAAAAGACTGAGTGGAGCAGTGTATTCCACAGTGACTCATTTGTATTTGAATCGAAGAGAGCAGGTACCTGGTTTAGACGGATGTTTCGTGTAGTCAAAAACAAGAACATCACTGGATGGAGTCTTTGTTGCAATGATGCATGGATTCTGTGGCATATAACGTGCCCTGTTTACTTCTCCTTCATGGTTGATCTTGATTTCTATTTCAATTTTTCCACTAACAGAGCCAAAACCACCAAATTCTGTAAATAAGAAATTGCAAATGAAGACAAAACAAGAGGTACTCTCTATATATCATTCAAAGCATTACACAGACAAGGCTTTTTATCAGCAACTTGGGATAATACTCGACGTAATTTAGACATTTGTTAGCACCATAAAGTGCTTTCACATCCTTTATTTTGATTACCACAACCCTACAGGGTAGACGGTTATTATCTACAAAAATTTTACACAGATGGGTGACATGACTATGGCAGAACATAAACTCAATTCCTATTTTTCTGATTCTGAGCCTAGTACACTTTCAGCTCTTGTAGTTATGTACCTAATAAGAGTATATATTACTATCTAAAATTAAGAAACAGCCTGGCTGTTATGGCTCAGTGGTCAAGTAACAACTTATGAAATTGGAGGTTATGGTTTGATTCTCAATCAGGGTACATGCCTGGGTTACAGATCTATCCCCAGTAGGAGGCAGGAGGCAGCTGATCAGTGTCTCTCTCATCATTGATGTTTCTATCTCTCTCCCTGAAATAAATTTAAAAAAAAATAAAATTATATATATATATATATATATATATATATATATATATATATATATATATATATATAAAGCCAAAACCAATTTGGCTCAGTGAATAGAGTGTCGGTCTGCGGACTGAAAGGTCCCGGGTTTGATTCCGGTCAGGGGCATGTACCTTGGTTGTGGGCACATCCCCGGTAGGGGGTGTGCAGGAGGCAGCCGGTCGATGTTTCTCTCTCATCAATGTTTCTAGCTCTCTATCCCTCCCCCTTTCTCTCTGTGGAAAATCAATAAAATATATTAAAAAAATAAAAAATTAAATTAAACACTATGGACTCCACTTCAAAAGTAGATTCTCAATAAGCAGTTTTCAAATCTCATTTAAAGTACCAAAAGAGTGTGCTGAGTAAACAAAACCCAAGTTACTATTTTAATGAATATGAGTACACAATGTGCTTGGTACTAAAGAGTCCCTCTTATACTATTTTTAAAGCTCCAGTTTGGGGTAATCTTTCTGAAATATCACACCGTATCTTCTTCCTACAGTTTCTCTTAGTCTGGTGAGGAAAAACAGAGCCACAAGAGCTCTTTCCTTTTTCCAATTCCCCACTTATACTTGGCAACCGCAGTCCCTGGTTGAAATAAACCAGGTAGGCAAGGACTAGACAAAAGCATTTTTAAAATTCATATTTGACTATTGCACGCCCTTAGAGTTCTCCAAGTGCCATTATAAAATGTAAAACACAACATTATTTGTGATTATGTAAATCTTGGCAAACATAATATAAACAAAAGCAGTCAATGATTAGTCAAAAGAATTATACAAGACAGGATGATAAGGTGCCTGAGTAAGTGTCACACCTTAGCATAACTGACTCTGCTGCTTACTAGCTTGGTGTTTTGCGGAAAGCCTTCAATTTGTAAGCCCCAAATATCTTATCCAAAAAGCAAGTTCTGGGAGTAAATGAAAATGCTATCAAAAGCACTATTAAACAAGTATTATACTTTAAAGGATAAAAATCTTTTCAAAAAGCAAAGACACAGATGAGCAATATAGCTAGCAGATTAGGTAACTTTCAACTTTAAAATAACTTTTACAAGTTGAAAACCAAAATTTTCAAAGAAGTTAAAAACCTAAAAACAGAAGAGAAAAACCCAGATTAAACAAGTTTTTTAAAAGACTGTAGATCATGGAGCACCTACAACTTAAAAAAGAAGGCATATGATGCATGATTTCAAGGAACTTTTCGTCCAAACATGGGAACAAAGCCCTGGCTGGATAGAGCAGCAGTTGCCAACTAACTGGTGGTCCACAGACCATTGGTGGTCTGTGAGGTCCAAAGGCGGCAATCCCAGGATTAAGGAAATCTTTGAAACAGCGGTTACCAACGGTGGTCTGTGGACCACTGGTGGTCCGCGAGGTTCGAAAGGTTGGTGACCACTGGGATAGAGCGCCAGTTTGCGGACCAAAGGGTCTTGGGTTTGATCCCAGTTAAGGGCACAGAACTTGGTTGCAGGCTCCTTCCTGGCCCGGGCCCTGGTCAAGAAGCAACCATTCAAATGTGTTTCTCTCACACCAATGTTTCCCTCTGTCTTTCCCTCTCTCTTCCACTCTCTCTAAAAATCAATGGAAAAATATTCTCAGGTGAGGATTAGTAACACGCACATTCACACAAAACAAACAAACATGGGGACATAATTACAGATGAAAAAAAGCTCAACAGTCAGAAAAGAGATACCAGTAACAAGGAAAGAGCAATAAAGGGCATGGAGCCCACAGAGCAGTAAGCAAGCATTACAAAATATGGGTTATTTCAGTACTGGGCATATAAACTAAACAGAGGGCTTCCCTAACTGTAAGAAACCAGCAGAGGCCTAGTTGTCTGACTCAGTGGTTAGAGCGTCGCCCTCAGAATGAGGGTCATGGGTTCGATTTAAGACTAGGGCAGTGTTTTTCAATCTTTTTTGGGCAAAGGCACACTTGTTTCATGAAAAAAATCACGAGGCACACCACCATTAGAAAATGTTAAAAAATTTAACTCTGTGCCTATATTGACTATATATAAAGTAATTCTCTTGAATAGGAATCAAATAAACACAAAGAAAGTATTTTATAATTACTTTATTATAAAATATTAAGTAAACAAAATAGTGAAAAATTCTCAGCGGTTGAAAAACGCTGGACTAGGGCATGTATCTGGATCATAAGCTCAATCCCAAATCCTGATTGGGGACCATGCCTGAGGCAACCAACTGATGTGTCTCCCTCTCCCTTCCACTTTTAAAAAAAATATATTTTACTGATTTTTTACGGAGAGGAAGGAAGAGGAACAGAGTCAGAAATATTGATGGAGCCGAAACCGGTTTGGCTCAGTGGTAGAGCGTCGGTCTACGGACCGAAAGGTCCCGGGTTCAATTCTGGTCCAGGGCACGTACCTTGGTTGTGGGCACATCCCCGGTAGGGGGTGTGCAAGAGGCAGCTGGTCGATGTTTCTCTCTCATAGACGTTTCTAGCTCTCCATCTCTCTCCCTTCCTCTCTGTAAAAAAATCAATAAAATAAAAAATAAAAATTAAAAAAAGAAATATTGATGAATGAGAGAGAAACATCAATCAGCTGCCTCCTGCACACCTCCTACTGGGGATATGCCCGCAACCAAGGTACAAGGCTGATGCTCTATCCACTGAGCCAAACCGGTTAGGGCTCCATTCCACTTTTTAAAAAATCAATGAAAAACAAAAAACAAAACAACAACAAGAACAACAAAATCAGCATAGATAATTGAGGTCTTATAAAGATGAGGAATTATCAAAAAATAATTAGAATATGTGGAATATATCTGCATCCACTGATAGACCTTGAACAACCTGTTGTTCTTATGGTTTGCACTGGGATGCGAAAGGAAAGTATCCCTGCGCTGTCTGTCTGTCTTTGTGGCGGCCCAGATTGAATAAGGGACTACATTTGCAAAAAAAAAAAAAAAAAAAAAATATGTGGAATATAATGAACAAAATAAACTGATGAACAAAATAGATCCAGAACATAGAAGCACAGAACAGACTGTGGAATCTCAAAGGGAAGGCAGGGGAAGGAGATTGGGTGGTTAGAGATCAACCAAAGAAGTTGTATACATATATGCCTAACCGATGGATACAAAAGATAGGAGGGAAGGGCCTGGGGTGAGGGTGAGCTACAATGGGTCAATGGGGGGGAAAGGGGAATTTCAACAATAAAGATAAAATAAAAATAAAAAAAATAATAATTTCTACAAGTTGAAGCTGATCTGTCAAAGGCCGAACTTGAACTAGAAAAGACTATGGTCCTAATGTAGTGATGGGTCACTTAACTGGGAAACATTCTAATAAATGTGTTAGGTTAACCTCATCATTGTGCGATCCTCATAGAGTGCACTCACACAACCCTAGAATACCTAGCTCACTACACACCGAGGCTAGTTATATGGTAGCCTACTGCTCCTACGCTACAAACCTGTACTATAGCATGTCACTGTACTGAACACTGCAGACAACTGTAACACAATAGTAAGAACTTGTGTATCTAAACATAGAAAAGATACGGTAAAAATACAGTATAAAGGATAAAGAATGGTAGACCCAAATGAGATATTTGCGGGACTGTAGCTGCTCTGTGTGAGCTGGTGAGTGAATGCCTAGTATACTACTGTACACTACCACAGACTTTATAACACTGGCCCACAAGATCTCCCCCTGTTGTCTTGACAAGGTCAGAAATAGAACATCAAAGCTGTCAATGCTGCTCTGTGAACAGGGATGTGGGCTGGATTGGAAATACAGAGGAGAAACTGGCCAGGTAAAGTGTAGATTGTAGAGAGCACAGGGACATTCTTTTAATTCTTATCAGTTGGGCCCAAGGGCACTGGCAGAATCCTGTTTTCAGTTCTGATTTCTTAATCCAGGAATGAGGAACAAATAGGACCTTGACTCACCAAGGTCTTGATATGCTAAATCTTGTATCAAAAAATGAGGATCTTACCCAGATTCTGATGAATAGGATCTGGGCACACCCGAAACTCCTTTTGACCTTAAACTCCCCTTTGGAAGCCAATAAATATGCTGTGTTATCTGTGATGAGTGTGACTGTCTCTCCACCTAGCTCCCAGCTTTATAAATCTATTTCTGCCTCTTGTCTCTTTCTTTCTCCAATTTCTTAATCCCCAGCTCCTCCCCTCAGGAACCTTTTTTCTGTGCCGGAGCGGAAAAAGGAGAACCACCACAGTAGATGACCATTAACAGTGCCTGTCAGGAGGCCTAAAGATTAGCAGGAATAAAAAAATCAAGATGGAGAGAGAGAAAAAACACTGAGGATTGTCTTAGCAATGTGGTTTTGGCTCTTGCATAAACAGTGGTTAGATTAAGGAACTTTGTGGTACTCATAAAAAGAAAAAGTGGTTAATATGGAGAGAGTGCAGAAGTACAGACACATTTTATTAATCTTCACTTGAGGATATGTTTCTTTTTTAAAAATATATTTTTATTGATTTCAGAGAGGAAAGGAGAGGGAGAGACATCAATGATAAGAGAGAATCATTGATTGGCTGCCTCCACCACGCCCTACACACCTGATTGGGTATTGAGTTGCAACCCAGGCCTGTGCCCTTGACCAGAATCAAATCCCAGATTCTTCAGTCCGCAGGCCCATGCTCTTTTCACTAAGCCACACCAGGTATGATTCTATTGATTTTTAAAGGAGAGAGAAAGATAGGAGAGAAGGGAGAAAAGGAAGGGGGAGAGAGACAGAGACACAGAGACAGAGACATTGATATAAGAGAGAAAAACCGATCAGTTGTCTCCCGTTCAAGCCCTGAACGGATCGAACCCCCACCTTTTTTGGTGACAGGACAACACTCCAACCAACTGACCCACTGGGCCAGGGCTCAATATTTTGACTTTGGAAATTTGTTTTTGGCTTCATTAAACTTATCTGGCACAAAGGACTCTCTCTGGCATTAAGTTAATGAAGAAATAAAACTTATCATAACCTGAAAATATTTCCAAAGTACAGGGACCAGATGGCTTCATACTGTAAGTGGCAGTGGCACTTAATACTTGTTAAGGTAGTTCCTGTGGACCTGTGTGCTTGTACAGGATCTTAGGTCCTCAACTAAGAAATGTACAGCAATATACTCTGAAGACCATTCAAGCTAGAACTGGAAGGGAGGTAAATGTCCGCTGAATATATAGCGCTGGGAGGACAGCCTCTTCTGTGCCACAATAGTCAGTGGCTAACTGATTGGGATGTAATCTGCATACTCAAAACTGAGGTGCTGCGGAAACCAGTTTGGCTCAGTGGATAGAGTGTCGGTCCGCAGACTGAAAGGTCCCAGGTTTGATTCCAGTCAAGGGCATGTACATTGGTTGCAAGCACATCCCCTGTAGGGCGTGTGCAGTAGGCAGCAGCTGATCGATGTTTCTCTCTCATCAATGTTTCTAGCTTTCTATCCCTCTCCCTTCCTCTCTGTAAAAAAAAAAAATCAATAAAATATATATTTTTAAAAACAAAAAACAGGTGCTGTGATAGGGAATCTAGTGCCAACCCCCACAGATATTGTACCTGTCACAGAGGAAAAAGTTCCTGAACCATACACCCTTCCATTTCTTCAAGGAAATTCAACTCCATTAAATCTTATGGGAACATGTCGTATATGTGGTCCATCATTACCAAAATGTCATGTGGAGCATGACTGAATAGTAATCTGAAAACTATCAAGATTTAACCATATCCCTATCTTGTTTCTTTCTACGTAAAACATTTTAAAAATTTGAAGTGTAACATAATACAGTTAAATGCCTAGCTTGACAGATTTTTACATAAGTCTTATACATCAAGGGAACCAGCACCCATCAAATATAGAACATATAGCCCCCTAGCAGGCACTGTCAGGTCCTTCCCAACCAAGCTCCTTCCTCTACAAATCTAGATAACCAGTATTTTGATTTTAACTAAACCAAGTCACTTTTTGAGCCCATAAGCATTTTGAAACTAAGAAGTTCTAACACCCTCAGTCAAACATTTAATTATCTTATCAGAATTTAATAATAGTTTATTATATATAATGAGACAAAAGTTTAAAGCTTTCTTAAAAACAACATACACAAAGCTAATTCCCCAAATAAGTTGTTAAAAATATACTTTCTAATGTCAAATAAGACTAAGCCAGTTTTTACTTCTTTCACTTTGAAAGTTCAACGATATTTTGAAGCTATCTGCCACCAATTACCTCAAATCAAATACAATAATTCAAACTAAGTAAGAAACAAGGACATTTTATCTGGCCAAGAAGAGACAATAGGAAGCTATCTAGTAGACATTAGGTTAAATCTAGTTGTACCAGTGCTGAGAACATATGGAGATAGGACCCCCTTCCCCAACACTTTAAGCACCAAGGCTATCCAGTGATCTAAAGATTTTGGAGGTGAAGTGGGGGGAGGGGAGAAGAGAAGAGAAAGGAATGGGTGATGATCTGTTGTGTATCCTTTGGGCAAGTTACAAAACATATGAGAATCAGCTTCCTTGAGGATTAATTACGGTGATTTATACTATATAATCATACAAATATATCATACACATTACTGGGTCTTTTTCATTGTTCTTTAACTAATTAGCATTAGTAAGAGAGCTAAATGTATCATTGGAACATATAAGTGAATTGGTTTGATGTCACTCAAATAACTCAGTTACCAGAAAAATACTTGAGTATACATGTTAAAAGATGCCATTTTAAAAACTAGCGGAGAAAATAGGTTAGCCAGCAAATGACATTTAAAAAATCGCTAACCATGTAGAAAAACACTTGAATCCCTAATTCCATAACTAACACCAGAAAGATTGAAGTTGTAATGGTCAAAACTTAAAAGTACCAGAAAACAACAGCTATTTTTAAAAAATCTTGGAATAAGGTCTTTCAAAATCTGAACTATATCAGAACAATGTTAGACAATTAAAAACACATTACTTCTAGATAAGCCTTTAAGATTATAAAATAAACCTGGAGCCAAGACCGGTTTGGCTCAGTGAATTGAAGGGACCCAGGTTCGATTCCGGTCAAAGGCATGTACCTTGGTTGCGGGCACATCCCCAGTGGGGGCTGTGCAAGAGGCAGCTGGTTGATGTTTTTCTCTCATCAATGTTTCTAGCTCTTTATCCCTCTCCCTTCCTCTCTGTAAAAAGTCAATAATATATATATATATATAAATAAATAAAATACACACACACACACACACATAAAAATTTAAATTTAATAAGACCTGAAAAAATGATCCACAACCTATTTATCTATTAGGGATAACCTACTATATCCTTCTATATAATAAAAGCACAATATGCTAAGTGTCTGGATGACTGTTCAACCAATCAAAGTATAATATGCTAATGATATGCTAAGGCTGCTCAACTGCTCACTATGATGTGCACTGACCACCAGGGGGCAGCTGATTCGTACTGAGCAAGATGGACTGGACACGCCCTAGAGCCCTCCCATGGTCCCTCTCCAGCTGGCCAACCTCCTGAGTTCCGCCTTGGCCCTGATTTTGTACTGGTGGGGTCCCTTGGCCTGGCCTGTGACCTCTCACAATCCAGAACTCCTGGGGGATATTGGAGAGTCGGTTTCAGCCTAATCCTGCAGGGCAGGTTGAGAGATCCCACTGGTGCACAAATTCATGCACCAGGCCTCTAGTACATAGATAAAAGAAAAAAGAGCAGAAAACATAAATAGGTAGATCAAGATAGACAAAGACAAATATTTTAAAACAAATTCAATATCGTGAATAATTTAAAAAGCAAAATGAAATAAGACTATAGTATTAACTTCAATGTTGGCGAGGGCATGGAGAAACACAAATACCTCTGCTATTGGTAAGCAATTTAGCAGTATCAATTACACTTGAGAATGTTCTTGCTCTATGATAAACATTACACTCAAAATATT